ATATAACATTTTAGACACATTCTAGACAGTTTATCAGCTAAAAAAAGTTAATTTTGGGGTAAGTTACTCTTTAAAGCCCCTGTCATACATCCTTCGCATAAAAAGGAAATTTGTGTTTGGTATATTATTTCTTCGTTGCAACAATGCTTCTTGGCAATAAATATCACAGTGAGAACCTGACTGGCAGCACCTGGGGGGTACCAGAAGCTGAAGACAAGTGTCAGTATTGACAGCAAAATAAACTGTTTGACAGAGAAGTTTTGCCAATTTTTTTATGTGCACAACCTACATACTCAGCTCTACAGCTCATCCCACAAAGGCATGATCCTTACAAATGTGGCACCATTTAAAAAGGGAAATTAACAAGTTTTCCAGCGGTATAAGATTTGTGCCAAAAAGCATTGTTACAACAAAGAAATAATCTAACAAACACAAATTTCCTGACTTTTTCAGCTAAGTTTATTTATATTCAATGGATGTTTTTAAAACCACACCTATTCACTACTTTCTTACTGTAAAAACAACAAAAATGTAAAGTAACAGCACTCACCACCAAAGTGTCCAAAGTGTCTATGAGGGTCAGAGAAAACCTGGACGCAAGAGTCAGACAAAAAATATGTTATTAATTTACTTAATTCAACTTGTTGAGATTTAATAAAAAKAAAAAGAATAAAATTCAAACTCAGTCTGAATCCATACAGACAAGAGTTAAAAACCTGCACCTTGCTCAAAGCTGACTCTGATATTGTGAATTATTTATGTTAAAAAAACTCATTCACTGATTTAACTCAGAGTTAGTTAACTATTCTAAATGTCTCTAGGCAGATTTTTGGGCACTAAAACACACTCCTGCTGAAGATTTCCAACACAATTAAAAACAATGAGTAGGTGGACCAGCATTATTCAATAATCACAGTCAAACTGAAACTGTGGGTTGATAAAAGTCAAATCGTATTTATTAAAACAACTTTTAGATCTATGGTCCTTTTCAGAGCTATAGATGGTCTGTGTTAAACTCAGACCGCAACTTCCYGATTAAGTCAAATCTGCCACAACATTCAGGTTTAAACCCTTTAGACTGTGCGCTCTCATTGCTTTGTTGCATTTGTGACCATTTCCTTTTATTACAACTTTAATACTGTGTTACAGCTCTGGAACAGCTTTCTTAGTCACATACACCTTTTAATATTATCTATATAAAATAATTTAGAAAATCAATTTCAATTTGTTATATGAAGCTGCCTTTCAATTCAATGGAAAAATTCAAAACATACAATACTGAAATTAAGTCTGTATGCATCTTGTAAAGAAAACAATGTAAACTCTTGTATCAGTACATTAGTTTTTTACTGCACATTGTGTGTGGGTATATGTGTGTGTGTGGGGGGGGTTGTGGTTACTGTCAATGTCTTATCTACAGCAGGTAAAATAAGTATTGAACACGTCACCATTTTTCTCAGTAAATATWTTACTAGAGGTGCTAATGACATGAAATTTTCACCAGATGTCGGTAACAACCCAAATGATCCATACATACAAAGAAATCAAACCATAAATGTCCAGAAATGAAGTTATTTGTAATAATGTGGAATGGCACAGGGAAAAAGTGTTGAACACATGAAGAAAGGGAGGTGTAAAAAGGCATGGAAAGCCAAGACACCAGCTGAACTCTCTCAGTAATTAGAAAGCAAGCCTGCCCCTTGTCAGTGCAAATTAATATCAGCTGGTTCAGTCCCAAATGATGGCCAGGTATCACACAAGAACCATCTGATGATGGGTAAAAGTAAAGAGCTCTCCCAAGACCTTCACAACCTTATTGTTGCAAAGCATAATGATGGCATCGGTTACAGAAGAATGTCTAAACTTCTGAAGGTTCCAGTGAGCACTGTTGGGGCCATAATTCAGAAGTGGAAAGAACATTATTTCTCCATAAACCGACCACGACCAGGTGCTCCTCACAAGATTTCTGACAGAGGAGTGAAAAGAATTATCAGAAGAGTTGTCCAAGAGACAAGGACCACTTGTGGAGAGCTTCAGAAASACCTGGAATTAGCAAGTACGATTGTTTCAAAGAAAACAATAAGTAATGCACTGAACCACCATGGCCTGTATGCACGCTCACCACGCAAGACTCCACTGCTGAAGAAACAGCATGTTGAAGCTCCTTTAAAGTTTGCTGCACAACATTTAAACAAGCCTGTGTAATACTGGGAGAATATAGTCTGRTCAGATGAGACCAACATTGAACTGTTTAAATGCCAGAATACACATCATGTTTGGAGGTCAAATGGCACTGCACATCAGCCCAAAAACACCATACCAACAGTGAAGTTTGGAGGTRGGAACATCATGGTGTGGGGCTGTTTTTCAGCATATGGTACTGGCAAACTTCAAATAATTGAAGGAAGGATGAATGGAAAAATGTACAGAGACATTCTTGATAAAAATCTGCTTCCATATACCAGGATGATGAAGATGAAACGTGGCTGGACATTTCAGCAAGACAATGAGCCCAAACACAAAGCCAAGGAAACTCTCAGTTGGTTTCAGAGAAAGAAACTAAAGCTGCTGGAATGGCCCAGCCAATCACCTGACCTGAATCCAACAGAAAATCTATGGAAAGAACTAAAGATCAGAGTTCATAGAAGAGGTCCATGAAACCTTCAAGATTTGAAGACTGTTTGTGTGGAAGAATGGGCCAAAATCACACCTGAGCAATGCATGCCACTAGTTTCTCCATACAGGAGGCGTCTTGAAGCTGTCATTGACAACAAAGGCTTTTGTACAAAGTATTAGATAAATTTCAGTAAGTGTGTTCAATACTTTTTCCCTKTGCCATTCCACATTATTACAAATAACTTCATTTCTGGACATTTATGGTTTGATTTCTTTGTATGTATGGATCACTTGGGTTGTTACCAACATCTGGTGAAAATTTCATGTCATTAGCACCTCTAGTAATATATTTACTGAGAAAAATGTTGACGTGTTCAAATACTTATTTTACCTGCTGTATATGTTCATATGTTTAACTGCACATTGGAGGCTGGTGAAACGGAACTTCAACTCCTGTGCTAACCCTGTTACACAGATTTTGACAATAAAGTACACTTGAACCTGAACTTGATCTTAAACTTAGCAATTTACTCTTTGTGACGTGKGMGCAAACAATAAGACACGCAAMVCCTCTGTGTTTTGCTACTTACTTGCCGAGTGCATCATCCACATCTCCTCGACTGGGTTCAAGCCCACGTACTCTTCCTCTGCAAGTTAGAGGCATCAACTCATCTGCTGGGTATGCATGGTCCTGAGAGAAACACAAAATATGTTTTTAACCACATACTATCCACTTCTGTCTCTTGTATAAAAGGGTGACTCATTCTGATTAAGAGTAACTCATTTTTATGACTTCGTAATTCTTTATTCACAAGATAAATATGATAATACAGGCAGGAAAACACGTTTCAGTCTTTTCAGCTACAAATACTGTAGTTCATAGACTTGTAATATGTTTGTGCAAAGATGAAAAACTTACCATATAATTCTGATATGCATGGTCAAACATTTCGACCACTTGGTTCCTTTGATGACAGAAGAACAAGGATACAAGGTTATAATGGATTCAAATGCTCTCAATTTGTTTTTTCTTCAACTTACCTCAACTTTTGCTTCTCTTCTCTTGTCATAGGCTTTCCAAAGCTGCACGACGCTCCAAACAGCATCAGTAAGAACAAGACAGGCAACATGGTGGTGTGTGGAGAAGATCGCTGCAATGTGTGCATGTAATCCAGCTTAGAGTCTGTTACTGTGTAAACACTTAGTCATAACTACTGCCCTGACCAAACAATTAAAGAACACAAACACACGCCTTCCCGTTGATATATCACTGAGATCATGCTTTAAAGGTATGAGTGGCTTTGACTCTAAGATATCAGATAATATCCGCTGTCTGGTTTAATATGTTGTATCGCAGTTTGCTGCTCAAATATCTGCGATGACCTAAAAACAGAGCAGATTGTCCAAGAGTGAGCACGACAAAAACTTAGAAGCGCAAACAAAAGGTAGGAAAGGAATGTTGTCGTTTCACGTAAGACGATATCTGCTATAGATGTGCCAAGAAAAAAAAAGTTGTGATGCAGGAAATTGTGTTCCGGGTCCTGCAGCAGGTCGGCGTGGCGCTCCTGCTGTTTACCTTCCCAAGCTGTCAGCTGAACCCATGAGACACGTTGACAGCCAAAGACCAGTCTTAGTTACATCAACTGCCTTCAGGGGTGGGAAACCTCTGATGAACAAATTCAAACATGTAAAATTGAGAAAAAGAAGAAAACAAACTTGTTTAAAGGTGTCTTCACTGTTTGGTGAACATRCAGTCTTCAGAATCCATCATGTCTCATTTCATCTTTACTCACGATCAATACTGACGCTCTTCATCAAATTAGACCAAAATTAAGACAACGTCACTTTGAAGACAATGCCTTTAAAAGCTCCCATTTTGCCACTCCAGACGACTGGTTTAGAAACAAGTTAATTATTTGCTCCGCTTGACAGTTTTCCTCTTTCGTCAGCTAGTTACCGATTGTCACGGTTTAGCCAGCTATGCTAATTTTGTTCGGGCTAACGACAACACGTCGCTTTAAAATATGAAGTTAATCAAAAAATAGGAGTCTCCATTGTTGGCGAGCAAAGATGACCCCTCTACCTCTTCTGTCATTTTGAGCTGTGAAATGTTTAAAGTCCCGGTATATTTTCGTTAGCCGTGAAAACAGCTCTAACTAACAGTACACCGCTAGCCGGAAGCGGTGACAACATCCGCTTCCTGACTCTGACTCATGGGTAATTTCTCCTGCGTTAAGACTCTCAGGCAAACTATTTTATTTATTTATTTGTTTGTTTGTTTTTATATTATTTACAACAGTGTTAAGCATAAAAAATTGCAATACAAATAATTTTAGATAGATAGTTTACTTTAAATACGTTACCCGACATAAATGAAAGATGCACCTGAAAGTCCACCAATGAAATAAAAGCCTTCGGTGTCGATCTTTTGATGTCCTGATGCATCTCAGTAATCCAGGTAAAAAAATCAAAATGAAAAAAATTGTATAGGTCTTCTGGATGGGTTCTTCTCTAATGAAACGTTTCGTCTCTCCTCCAAGAGACTTCTTCAGTCTGAGAGTTTCAGGCAAAATTCAGGCTTTTAAGCACTGCCTCCATGTGACTGATACTCACATCACATGGCTATCGTTGACACCTAATTAACACCTATTGTTAACAGGGGGAGGAGTGATACTGCCAATGGCAGCACTGTAGGAGGGGGACAGCTGAAAACGGAGGCCTCCACCTCTGTTTAATGATGGACGGTCTTTCTTTACAAAAATGGCTTCTTTTACTCCTCTCTCAAACCAACGTTCCTCTCTATCAAGAATGAGAACATCCTYATCTCTGAAAGAGTGACCGCTGGCCTGTAAATGAGTGAAAACTGCAGAGTTCTGGCCATTAGACGTAGCTCGTCTGTGTTGGGACATTCTTTTGAACAGTGGCTGCTTTGTTTCCCCGATATATAACTGGTCGCAGTCCTCCTGGCACTTAACAGCATATACAACATTGCTCTGTGTGTGCCGGGGCACCAGATCTTTAGGGTGAACCAGCCTTTGCCGTAATGTGTTTTGGGGTTTGAAAGCCACTGGGACATCAGGATCCAGTATCACTCCACCCCCTGTTAACAATAAGTGTTAATTAGGTGTCAACGATAGCCATGTGATGTGAGTATCAGTCACATGGAGGCAGGGCTTAAAAGCCTGAATTTTGCCTGAAACTCTCAGACTGAAGAAGTCTCTTGGAGGAGAGACGAAACGTTTCATTAGAGAAGAACCCTTCCAGAAGACCTATACAATTTTTTTCTTTTCGATCGTTTGATAATTTCCTTTAGGGGCGCTCGAAAACGCTGCTGTCTACCAAGAGCTACCTACCATACAGCTTGTCCAAGACATTTAAATTATTTTTCTAATTTCACATTTTAAAGCATGCAAATTGAACTAATTATGCATGAGAAGTAAAGCATTTTTCTGGTTTTTAATGTAATTATATAAAACTACATACGCTTAATAACAAGACCTATTTAAAGTTTATTAGTGTTGTTGTTGTTTTATCAATTAATCATCATTTATACAGAGCACTTTGCATTAGCCAAACAGAGCAAAAAGTGCTTTACAAAAAATAGTTTTAAAAAAAGCCAGAGATCCACTAGAAATTAAAAACCTTCCTGAATAAAGAGGTTTTTAGATTAAAGTTTAGAGGACCCAGATCAATGACCTAACCTATGATCACACAAAAGCCATTTGAAATCAGCTGTTGCGGGTGGTCATCTTGAATTTTCAAATCAAAAGTAGTTTTCTTTATTTTTGTGCCCGTCCTAAAATAACGCCCCGGCCACCCCTTGCAAAACAGTCTAGCTCCACCCCGGCAACCACCTGTTTGGATGCTTGAAGCCTGTTTGCTTTTTCAAACCTTTAACTACATTTCCCATAGTGCTTTGCGGTGTCACGTTCACGTTTCGATGGTCTCACATGACGAAAACCTGCTGTGTTTGCAGTATTTGACAGTACAAAACACTTCTTTCCCCAGAAGTAAAAGTTTTATGTCCTGAACACAAGGCGGACAAACGTACTAAAAGGTATTCTGGAACTGACAACTCTGAACTTTCGACGGCTCTCACAATGTTCTTCATTAAGTATTTCTATGTTTTTGCTGTTTGCGATCTTTTAATTTTTTTGTTAGTTTTTACCTTGACATTTTACTGTTTTAGTTACTATATGCTCACTAAAGTTAAATGCTTTATTGTGAAAAAAAATAAATCTAAAAGATTTTCTATTCGGGTTTTCAGCTTTAAACAGAACAGCGCTCCTTCCACCTTTAACTATCCGCCGTGAACGCGACATGTTGCGCATGCGTACTTCTTATGGCCCTTTTAGCCATGTTTTTATCGGGAACCACAGACGCTGGGCGAAATAGGGAGACTGGATTGGAGGATTTCTCCTTTCTCTTCATCCTTGAAGTCAAGGACTTGTGCTGTTTTTCGTTTAATAAGTCGGACCTGGGAATGACGTGACAGCCTTCTTAACCGTGCTTCAGTTTCAAGTCAGTAAACAAGCAGGTTTTTCTCCTTCTCTCGTGCTCCGCTACTGCATTAGCTAGTTAGCTGTTACCTGTAAGAAACTAATATTACAAACAGTTTAGTAACAGTAAACGTGTCCTGTTTGTATGTCTTATTATTTTCTTGCCAGGTCCATCATGGCTCCAGCTGCGGACAAAAAGGTGACGGGTCTGGTAGCAGCTACATTTACTCCCTTCACCACACAGGGGTTAGCATTGTCAAACATATTTTATCTTTTATTTATGATTCGTCTTGGCTTTATTTGATGAGTGTGACGTGTTGACATCGTCAGAATTTTTAAAACCAACTTCAGTAATCGTTTCTTTGTTMTTTAATCACTAAAATTATGATTTTCTTACTTATTTAAAACAGTGAAATCGATACATCAGTTATTGGACCTTACATTGACTACCTGTTAGAGAAGCAAGGGATAAAGAGCATATTTGGTAAGTTATTCAAATTCTATTCATTTTTATGTTCCCATTTATTTCTTATATTGCATGTTTAAAATCTTAGCTGGCATGTTGCTTGTATTTTGTTAACTTTCTATTTCTCAGGTCTTTGAAAGTGTCTTATAACTTGCTTAAAAAATGAGCAATAATTTGTTTTACTGGGTGAAATTGTCAAATTTAAAAAGGCTTGCTAAAAGCTATTTTGTGAGTCAGAAGCTGAAAGTCTTTGGTAAGCAAACTAGCTTCAGACTTCCTGCTGACTTGGCTAAACTGTTTTTCCTTTATCTGGAGGAAAAAAGAGAACAAACATTATTTCACCAGGCTGTTTGAGATGTTAACGGAGTTTTTGCTGAAAGCGTCTTGAGTAAAGGAGTAATGCTTAAAATGTATTCATACCTATTGAAAACTTGTATTAAACATCTAAATACCATTAAAAACTTACACATGGAGTCCTTTTTYAAGCAGTAATGTGATTTTTGTTTAAATAGATAATATATCGTTATGCAGTAATAAGTTGTAGTTGAATTTTATGCCTTTAAAAGTTTTCTTTTTTACATTCTCAGATTCTGTAAGTTTTGTRAGTGAATGTAGCCAAGTTGAACCATGGTGCGTAAATAAAACTTTGGTGTGTAAATGGAACTGTTTCTACTCTCTTGTAGTGAATGGCACCACAGGGGAGAGCATGTCTCTTACTGTAGCAGAAAGGAAGGTCCTGGCAGAGGAGTGGTGTCAGAAAGCCAAGGGCAGGTCAGTCATATTTACACCTCAGATGTTCTTCTGGACAAAGGTTTTGACGCTAAAATGCTTTTTAATATGCGTTTACCAGAATGGACCAAGTGATTGTACATGTTGGTTGCATGAGTGTTAAAGATTCCCAAGATCTGGTGAGTCCTGTTGTGTATTTGTCTTGGTAATAGATTTTATGGGCTTGGCTTTACTTCTCCCTTCACTCACGAGGAATCTGTTTTTTTAGACATGGTTTTATTTTAAACATATTTTACTTTAATCTCAGATCTTAAAGAGAGCCTATTCAGCCTGACAACTAACACAATCCCATCCCTGTTTYATTTTAGATTACACATGGTGGTTTCTTTAGGGAAAAATAATTTAAGTATCCAAAAATATCAGCATGGTTACTGTCTGTCACTTGAAAATTTTCCAAGTAAAGGTCTCTGCAGTCACTGAATGGGAGGTTCTTGACTGTGTGCGGAGTTGAGGAAACTCGTGATTGGTCGAATTGACTTGTGGAGGAAGTTAAATGTATTCATTAGCCATGATATTTACAGGAAGTAACTGTAACACTAACCGTGTTTCCATCAAGGCTTTTTGATGCGCATTTAGAAGTGTCGCATTAAAAATGCAAAAAAAGTCGTATGGAAACAGCAAAATTCGGAAAAAAAAATACTCAATTCGCTAAAAAGTTTTTACGCTCGCTTGAGGTGGTTTTTGGGTTTTTCGAAAAACAATGTGCAAAAGGAGAGATGGAAACACTTTTGCCGAATAAGTTGTGACGTAGCGAACATTTACCTCACGTAGCTGATCAGCTGTTCCCCGGTACCAGTTTCRGGTCGGCTGCAGCCGCGACTGGCAGCAGAACCCTCCTTCCGCTGTTTGCATCTTCTCAGTACAGACAGCAGTAACATCGCCAAAACTAGTTGATAACAGAATAATTACAACTTTCCTGATAGTAGCAACACGTTCCTGATAACTTCTCTCCATTATCCTGAGATGTGTGGACCGTGCGTGTTTAGCGATGGTTACTTCCTGTTTACTACACACATGCGTATGACGTAATTGATTCGCTTCAAGCCAGTTGATGGAAACTCCGTCTGATTCGCATTTCTTTCATTTTTTCCTTTTTGCGAAATTATTAAAATTCACTCAAAATTCTAATTAAAATTGGATGTAATTGGATGGAAACACGGTTACTGTTGGTGTATAATGGTAATTACTGTATTAGTGCATGTATTATACAAGACATTTAACTCTCCTAATTCTCCCGCAGCTGCTCAGTATTCATCCAACCAAATTGTTAGGCTTCTTCAAACCCCGCCCAAAATCCAATCCAGCCAATCGTCTTACTCAMACTCCTCCCACTTAGTGACTGCAGAGACCCCGTTCTCAAATTTTCCCCACAGTTTTGCAAAAAGAGTTACGTTGTCATCTAGGGATGTGCGATATGGCAAAAAATTCATATCACAATAAACATTATGATGGGCGGCGGTAACGATATTTCATGATATAAAACTTATAATAGAAAAGAAATAAATCAGATACTAACTGAGTGGAATGTATAAATATGTATGTGTTAAAAAAATTTAGACCTTAAAATCTCCTTTTTAAGGGAAAATTTAAGGTGTCCCTTAAAATCTATACTTTAAATGAGACATGCCTTTTTCTTTTGTAGATGATTTGCAGATTAACCTACACAGTGTGCTTTGACCTGAAATTTGGAAAACAGTTGTAATTGTACTAAATGTCCAAATAATTTAAGTACTTCGACTTTATTGGCAAGTTTTAATCTTGTATTTGAGTCAGACTATTGGACTTATTGAGTATAAACCTCCAGAAAGAATTAAAAAATAGACAGTATACACTTTTGAGGAGCAGGAAGGTAGATATAATAGCATTCAGTAAAATGGGCAACCCTGTTTTTYCTCCATGTCCTGCTAGTTGCATCAGTATTTGTTTAAACAATGTTTTTTTTCTGTCTTTATCTGAGAGTGAAAAGTTCTCTCTCTATATCACTGCTCTAAATTTTAACTTTGTGTTAAATTTATAGATTGTAGTGTTATTAAACTATTGAGATAATTGGATTGTAGACCTGCATTGGCAGCAACTCCAAATCCCTTTTAGTTTCTATTAAATTGTTCCCCCCTCCAGGCTCGWCATGCAGCACAAATTGGGGCTGATGGGATAGCAGTCATCGCCCCGTTCTTTTTTAAGCCCAGAACTGCAGGTATCTGAACAGCCTTTCTTTGTATTTTTTCATGTGAGAGGAGACACTGACCATTACCCACTGCTGCATTGTCTTAACACATCARTGCTGTTGCACATACACAACTTACGTTCTTTTCTTGTTTCAGAGACTTTGAGGGCATTCATGAAGGAAGTTGCTTCAGCTGCTCCAAATCTGCCTTTTTATTACTATCAAATCCCAGGGCTGACTGGTGTCCACGGTCAGTGGTTTTTAGGTTGTGCAGTCACARCACAACTCTTAACTAACACTCGGGATCATGCAGTGTTTCATGTGTTTTGTTAACCTTTGGTTGTCTTGTTTCTTTTAGTGAATGTGAGAGATGTGATCGAAGGTATCGAGGATCTGATTCCCTCCTTCAGAGGCGTGAAGTTCACTGGGAGTGACCTCATGGATTTCGGCCAGTGTGTCAGTAACTGCCAGCCAGAGTGGTCAGTCCTGTACGGAGTGGATGAGGTCAGTCTTTTCCCTTCATCACCCTGTGATGTTTCTGTTGTTGCCTTTAAGTCTGGAATTGGCTGTTCCTATAATCTCTGTAATGTCCTACCTCACACACCTACCTGCAGAAATAACAGGGATGGGTACTGAATTCAATACTTTTCTAAGTACCRACCGAATTCTGTCGGTCCTACCGAGAACCTGTTCACCTAACGTCAAACAATACCATGTTTCGGTACCTAAACTCATCATTGCGACTGTATTGGCGTAAGAGTGGTGAGTTGTCCATGCTTGTCCTGAAACGCAGCATCGCGCAAGAGCGTAATGACGTCATCAGCCGCTGCTTCAGTATACAGAGTTCAGTCTAAACATAGCTTGAAAGCCTCGCAGCTTCTGGAGTGAAACTCACCGAACAGACCGCCCATGAATTATCTGGTGGATTAATTATCTTGTGAGCAGCCCCAGCAAAAAAGAAGAAATCACTGGCAAGTTTCTTCCAGCACAACACAACTACGAGTACCACTATCACACAGAGGGAGGCAATAGAAAGTGAACTTTCTAGCTACCTGTTTTCAGTTTGTGTAGAAA